AGATTGGAAGAGGCCCTGGAAGTTTTTCGCCTTCCTCTGTAGCATGGGGCATGGGTCGCTTGCTGGAGGATTCTCTGCTCCTTGAACTCTTTAAACCACGATTTGAGGACTTCAATAGCTCAGACATAGGTGAGAGGTTTTTCGCGGGAGTGGGTGGGTGAGATTCTGTGGCCTGCGTTGTGCAGGAGGTCGGAGTAGATGATCATAATGGTCCCTTCTGACCTTAGTATCTATGAATCTATGTGCTCCAGCCCCCTAATCATTGTCATTGCTCTCCGCTGGACTCTCTCCAATTTGTCCACATCACTTCTGTAGTGAGGGGACCAAAACTGGACGCAATACTCCAGGTGTGGCCTCACCAGTGCCCAATAGAGGGGAATGATCACTTCCCTCGATCTGCCGACAATGCTCCTGCTAATACATCCCAATATGCCATTGGCTTTCTTGGCAACAAGGGCACACTGCTGACTCATATCCAGCTTCTCGTCCATTGTAATCCCCAGGTCCTTTTCTGCAAAGCTGCTGCTTAGCCAGTCAGTCCCCAGCCTGTAGCGGTGCATGGGATTCTTCCTTCCTAAGTGCAGAACTCTGCACTTGTCCTTGTTGAACCTCATCAGATTTCTTTTGGCCCAATCCTCCAATTTGTCTAGGTCACTCTGGACCCTATCCCTACCCTGCATCGTATCTACCTCTCCCCGCAGCTTAGTGTCATCTGCGAACTTGCTGAGGGTGCAATTAATCCCATCATTCAGATAATTAATAAAGATGTTGAACAAAACTGGCCCCAGGACTGACCCCTGGGGCACTCCGCTTGATACCGGCTGCCAACTAGACATCGAACGGTTGATCACTACCCGTTGAGCCCGACAATCTAGCCAGCTTTCTATCCACCTTAGAGTCCATTCATCCAGTCCATACATAGATAGAAGTGTGTGATATGTTCAGAAGCTTGTGATGGGAATCCAGGACTTCTTCCAGGGGAATTTGCAAGGTGTCAGCAACCCACTTCATCAGGTCCTGGAATTGTCTCATCAGCTAATAATGGTGGTGGTGGCGGCATTACTGCCTCATATGGTGATGATAGGGGGTAACCTCCTTGTCTGCCCTTGCCTCTTGCTCCTCAAAGGTATTCCTGGGCTCAGAGAGGGGAGGAGGAATGGATGGTACCAGCGAAAAAGTCTTCTGTGTTCCCTGTGAAACTGAGTTTAGATCCCTCAAAATTGCAAGGGGATCCCAGTAAGGCCAATAAGGGAGACCATAAGGCATGGGGGGAGGTATCCAACATTGATCATCCCAAATGTTGTAAGGCAGGGGTCTGGTGTCCTGCCTCTGTTACATCTGTAACAGAGAATAATGTCTCCTGGAATAAATTGGAGAGCCTTGAACAGAAAGTTCAAAATGTGAGTCAGAATGCCCCTCCACATATCGTATCTGTGGTGACATCCTCTCCTCATGGGTAGTGGAAGATGAAAAAGAGGTAGATCTCATGGAAACACGAGCAGGCCGTGACCCAGTCAACCTTGCTACTGAGAGATGTCCAGAGGTTGCAAGGAGTGGAGATTCGGGTTCATTCGGTACCAAAAGATCTTTCAGGTACTGGAATTCCTGCACTACTGGCAGCACAACAGAACTCAATACCAACACCAATGATGCTGCAGAAGCTGTTGTGCGAGGCACTGACATCTGTACCAAGGCGGTTGAGGATTCCATTGAAGCCAGTCTCTTGGTAGTAACAATCTTTGGTACTGAGCCCTTGAGACCTGAGGAATGGAACTTAGTTGAATTCTTAGAATCCTTCACAGTACCTGAAGTACTTGGAGCCTCACTAGCACTCCTCTGGGGGTCTGAGGTTTCCAGTGACTGGATCTTCTTTGATGCGGAACTCTGTTCTCCTCCTCTTCTCCCTTCCTTATACTTTGAGTGGGAAGCTCTCAGTGTCACAGTTATAGACACCTCTCTCATAAAGAGTGTTGGATGCCTTCTTCCCCTTGGAAGCTCTCGATGACCATGATCTTGATGACGGGAACTGACAGAAGTGGAGGATCCCTATACTGGAGGGTTCTCTGCCCCCTTGGTCAGCAGCCGGTCTCCAGGCTTGCTCCATCATTAACAGTTTCCCTATACTTTATTTCCCTGTTCTTCTGAGATCTTCCTTTAAAAGAAGAGCAGACCTTACACTTGTTGGGAATATCAGAGTCTTCCAAACAACGAATGCATTGGGAGTGCCTGTCGCTAAAAGGAATTGCTTCTTGACAAGAGAGGCACCTTTCAAAAGTCTGGGGAGCCTGATATCCCTGAAAGGAGAAAATTTGTTCAAGGAAAAAAGAAAAAACACATTTTTTTGAAGAAAAGAACAAGGGAGAACAAGTGTTCCTACAACTATAAGGTACTAAACCTGCTACTACAATGACTAATTATAGAAGCCAAAACACAATACAAGATGGAAGAGGTGCACAGTAAATTGACACATGCTAGACTCCATCTCTGGCCAAAGGTAGTTGAGAAGGAACTAAGGGCAGTTAATCCGTGCAGCCCTATACTACGTGCACATGCAGAATTCATGCCCCCCGCAGGCTTCCTTGCAGAAAAATGACTTTCTGATGGGGAAGCAAAGGGAAGCCGCAACAGCGGTCACACACTCCTCCCCGGCAGTGTGGGCATGTCATTTTGGGCACCCAGAGCAGCCAGTAGAGAGAGAAATCACTGTGGGGGAGGAAGGAGAGTGGGCTGGGGATGCTCCAGCCGGTGGCTCCTACCCTGCACCAGACTCAGTTCCTCTTCCTCTTTAAGAAATGTCCAGGGCCAGGTCGGACCCACCTCCAGAAACCTTCCCCAGCTGCAGGAAGCTCTGCATAGCCCCCTGCTTACTGTCCCCATCACTCGTCCGTCACAGGGGGCGAGGTAACTGTACGAGGAGCTGCTCCCCGTCCACCCAACCCCCATGCATCTGGACCTCCCATACCCAAGCCCCAGTGCTGAGCCTCACCCCTCCACACCTATATTCCCCACCCTGCTGAGCCCCCCCCTGCATCCGGACCCCCGCTGAACCCCTCCCCTGTGCAGCAAGACCCCTCCCCCCATTAAGCTGCCTGCACCCAGAGTGTCCCATACAGAATCCTCTTACCCCACACCTGGATCCCCCCACACTAAGCCCCTCCATTCTTGGATCCTGCTGAGCTGAGCCTGCTTGCCCCACACCTGGATCAGGGCTAAGGCTGGGTGTGCATGAGAGATTCTGTCCCTCTCACTTGCTATCTTGGTGCACCTGGTTGGAGGGGCATGACACTGGGGTGTTTCTGGGGCAGGCCTGGCCCTTGTGCTATGTCAGGGTCGGGTGCAGCCTCACCACCAATTCCATATCCCGAGGAGGGCTGCAGGGTGATCTTCCATCTCCAGGCAGCCAGTGGCCTGTGTTCCCCACTGCCATGCTGGAGCCTCCACATTTATTAGTGACAAATAAAATATGCAGAATTTTAAAATATTGTGGGCAGATTTTTTTTTTTAAGCAGAATTCCCTTAGGAGTATTATACAGCCTCAGTACAGGGCAAGAGGATATGTAGGGTGCATGAGCGGGCCAATCAGGCACTGCTATCAAAAATCTCCAATCAAAGGTGCAGGGATACATGCATACTTAATGTGGAGCATCCACAGGCACACTAATCAAAGAATACTTGCTTCTGACAAGTTATTTAACTTACTAGTTATTATAAAGATTTAGGCAGCAAACACCCAAACCTAACCTTGGGAATAAACAACAATTTGTTGTTTGGCAAGGATGAAGGTTTTTTTTTATTGCCCTAAAATAATCTTTGAAGAATTTGTTTTTCAAAGTAATCATTTTCTAATTTCCTGATGACACAGCACACATAGCAAATTTCATATCTGATTATCAAAAAATGTAATTTTTATGGATTTTGTAAAAACTATGACAAAGACATTTTGAGAGAGACTTTTAAAAGATAGTATTATTGTTGACCATTTGCTTAGCATAAACACAGACAACAGGAGACACAGGTTCAGGAGCTGACTTGAGACACCTACTTTTGAAACAGTTGATATCTTAATATTATGATGCTGTGTTGCAGCCTATCAACATGTCACACAATGTTCATGTTTGTACTGGAGGAGAAACAGTTAGAGGTGAACATACATAAAAGGAAAGGACCTAGATGTTTATGGGGAAGATCCTTCAGACCTGACCTTGAGGCCACTGTTAGTTGGGAGTGTGTTCCAAAAATAAGGGGCAGTATGGAAGAAGGCATGATGATGAAAATGGGAAAACTTACAATGGGAGTCAGTGAGAAAGAGGTTTGGTGCGGAGCAAAAGGGGCAAGAGGAAGAGTAGGAAGAAACCAGAGCAGAAATGTAAGCAGGTGGGGAACTGTGCAGTGCCTTGAAGGTCAGAACCAGAAGCTAGAACTTGGTATGGAAGGCAGAGGACACAGTGAAAAGATTTAAATAGGGCATGACAGGAAAAAAAATTGGTCAGGTTACTTACAAAAAAGTGACATCGTCTGTGATACTAGCAGGGTGGAAACTTATAAGTGACTGTAAAAATACTATTTACTTATATCTTCTTATTTTCTTAGATAACTTATTTAACCATAGCTTTTGGTGGGGATGGTAAGCAGTAGCAAATTCTTTTTCCTCTATTTTCTATAAAAGGGGAGTGATCAAGCCTTTCTAGACATACTAGAATTCCAGTAGCTAGCCACTGGAATTTAGACCTAATTATCACATCAATATTAAATTGTTTGTGGTGAAGTGTATTTCTGGTCTAACTATGGTATATCACAGAAAATTGAGTTACACCAGAGATAAAGTTGGCCCTTTATTGTTGTTTTTTAAATTAGATATTTTTCATATTAGCAAAGAAACAAACATTAGTAGGATGTTTTAATTTGTATCAAAGTTTCATTTCACATGCCACCTATATCTGCATTAACTGTATTCCTACAAAGTACAATTTAATGAAAAAAATTAAAAACGGAAGACTTACTATTAGAAGCCATGATCCCAAATACCATGGTGGCATTTCTGCGCACAAGTGGGTCTTCATGTGAGACTAGTTTAAATAAAGGTTCCACAGCTCCAAGACCAAGGAGTGTCACTTTGTTTTCATCACCTAAACAGTAATTAGGTTTAAATTCTGATATGAATTATTGAAAATACCTTACACCAGAATGCAACAAAAAAACACTAATACTAATGCAATATACATACATATTAATATAAGGTATTATTGATATCAATCTCTTTATTGGATTACAGAATATATTTCAAATAGTACCAAAATGATCTAAAATAAAGCAGTCTAACATAACACAGTCATTAAAATTCTTTGATGGAATTATAGCCTTAAACACTGCAGTATTAAACATAATACACCACATGTAAATAAAAAAATGTGTGGTTCACAAGGATGCGATGTCACATCCAAAGCTGGATTAAAGCATAGGCACTAAAGGCCCGGGTCTAAGACCCCAGCTCTTGGAGTCATATGATCACCTCAGACTCCTCATGAAAATATAAAGTAAGTTTCTAGCCCATATGATCGTGAAGAAAGGTTTGAAAATGTGAACCAAGTGTAACTGCTTGTCTTCAGAGAGGCTGAAACAACAGCTCTGAAAGCTGTGCACTGCCCTATGCATCTCAATTGGGTGTTGATCGAAGGCCCACTAGGCTGGAGGGATACCACCAACACCAACCTAACAAAGGAGCAAGGAAAAAGCAAGATTCATGCCATTAACCCAAGGGTTCCCAAAGTTTTGCTGGTATGACCCCTACTGGAACCCCAGACAGCATGAAGGACACCATTTTGAAGAGCAAACTGACGTTCTCTGCACGGTCTGACCTCACACACTCCATACATACGAAGTCACACTGTGCAGAGGACACCATTTTGTAGAGCAAAATGGTGTCCTCCATGCATCATGACCTTGCACGCACCGTACATAGAAATGGGTAGGGAGGGAGTGGAGGGAATGGAGTGGAGAGTGCTCTGTCCCTACTATGTGCTGGCCAAAGTAGCTGACCAGGCACACAATGAGGAGACAGCTGCTCCATTAAAAGGGGTGAAATAACTTACTCTACTGCATGCAAGTGGGAGCAGAGAAGAAATTGTTCTTGGGGCAGCGCAGCTACACACCAGGGGTATGTCTTCACTCAAGAAGTAACTCATGTTATCAGCACTCAAGTTACCCATCTCAAGTTAGCCTAGCTTAAGTGAGAGCAGCTACACTGTAAAGTAACACTCAAGCTGCTGTGTTTGCACTGGTGCTGTACTCTCTCATGTGTGGTGCTAAGACTACTGGGGGCACAGCCTGTGGTTCTTAGCACTGCAGTAAGCTGAGTTGCTCCATCAATTATTTCCCAGTGAATTGTGGAAGAACTTGTCTGTCCCTTCAGGGCACATGGGGTGGGGGTGGGGGGACGACTATGGGAAGGCACTGGAGGACTAGCAGCACTTCAGTGGAGCTAGCCTGTGTCCACACTGCAGAGTTGTCATGTTAGCAGCTGATGAGTTGCGCTCACTCAGGTTTTAGCCTATACTCCCTCTTGGGCTAGCCAATTCAAATTAACTGCACCAGTGAACCTTTTTTTGTATGTGGATGGGACTCAGGTTATTACCTGAATTAACTTTGCAGTGAAGACAAGCCCAACTACCTAGAATATGTCGCCACTGCAATCGGGGGCATGACTGCAGCTCAGGTAAGCATACATGCACTAGCTTTAATCTAGCTAGTGCAGCTAAAAATAGTGCAGATGCAATGGCATGGACCATGATGTGGGCTAGAAAAGTGAGCATGTACCTAGGTTTCTGGGTGGGCTTGTATAACCTGTGCTGCATCTTCACTGCTATTTTTAGCTGTGCTGGCTAGATTAAAGCTCGCACAAATATGCCTACCTGAACTGCAATGACATCTCCAACTGCAGTGCAGACACACCCCTATTCAGGGCTGATTGCAAAAGTACACTCTAGCCCGCTTGTTAGGATATAGATATTCAGGTCTGTCTGCAAAGGCTTATACTTTAAGAATTTAGGTGTATTCTTATCACTTAGCTAGTTATAGAGATTTAAAGAAAGAATCAAAATTACTGCCTTAAGGCCCTTACACTGGCAGACAGTGATTTTGATTCTTTCTTTTATACCTCTATAACTAGCTAAGTGATAAGAATACACCTAAATTCTTAAAGTATAGGCCTTTGCAGACAGACCTGAATATCTATATCCTAACACCACTGTGGGGTCAGAAGAACATTCACATCAATAATCTGTTAAATAGTTAATTTAGCAGAAACAACAAACTAATATATTTGTTATTTTTGGACATAATGGCAGATACAGTATTGTTGCAGTGAGCAAAGGGATAGCTGTCAAGAGCTGTTGGAGTGGGGAACAAGGAATTCAACCCCCTCTCCTCAAATTTACAGTAATCTCTGCCCTGCACAAAATATTGCTGCATCTCCACCTCAGAACCTAAAGCCTCAACTGCATATTGTTTACCAAGCCCAGCCTGCATACCTTCCAGCATTCCAGAAACCCCAAATGCTCCCTAGCCAGCAGTCAAAAGCTTCAGCTTTTCTCTAACAACTTTAACAATGTCATCAATGTCTGTCAATACAAAAATCTGCAGCCCACAGAAACCTTACAATTTAGGGCAACATAAAATAGATGGAATATCATATAAAAATAAATTAAACTAAAGATGCCACTACAGTACACTAATTAGACTAGACTGGGTGGAGTGGAGTGAGTGGGAGAGAATTTGGGAAAGGCAGGGTCACATAATTGTGGGTTCCTTTATTCATTATTATTATTGTTGTTGTTACCATAAGACCTAGGAGCCCCAGTCAAAAACCAGGACTTCATTTTGTTAGCCCATTTTTTTGGTTCTGTAAAAACCCAGAACAAAAACATGGCCCTGCCCCGATTTATGTTTGATGTGCCACACACATAGTGCCTTTATTACATATATAATTTAAACAAGAACATTTAGAGGATTTGAAATATTAGACACTTGTTTGATTCCCAAACATGTAGCAATGATTGAGGCTGGTTGTTCTCATGAGGATCTTCTACTATGGAAGTACTGTTCTTGAAAAAAAGAAAAGAAAAGTAAAGAAAAAAAAAAGATTAAATGCAAAATAAAAAAACAAGGAAACAAACAAATCCCCAGAGACACACACAAAAAAAAGCTTGAAATAACTATTTCTCCAATTTAAAATTATGCACCGCTATAGCAAATTGTCATATGCAAAGAAAGAATTTCTTGTTTTCCAAGATGCCACAATCTCATGCTCAAGATAAAACAGATTTAGACTATCCTACATTCAGGGTAAGTTTTATTATTAAAAGATGCAAAAAAATTAACTTCATGCAGAACACAGGACTTCCTTATAACTGTAAATAATACATGAGAAATATTTTACAAAATTCCAATAGGAGCATTTACTGCCAAGCAGGATAGTTAAAGTATGGAAACTAAAAAAATGCCGGACAACTAGTCTAGGAAACGTAGGAAATGTGGAGAGAGACTGGTCATGAAAAGACAAACCTTTTGATGCAAATTTATATATAGCATCACACGCTTTAGCCAAAACTTCCTCTTCTGGAGAATTAAGCATCAGCACCACTGTTGCTGCTTTTTTGCTTTCAATCGATAAAGGGTCAAACTACAAATACAAAAGAGAAGAGAATTTTCTCAGTCATACTAAGCCTTACTGTTCAATGCAGCAGCCCACTATATATATATATTTTTAAATCAGACTTGATCCAGTCTGAGATTTATAGGCCAGCTAAATATGTTTAAATGGGTTTTCCATATACTCAATAGGATTCAGGGACATTTTTTCATCTTTCCTAATAACAGCTTGAGCTTCTGCTGAAAGATAAGAGGGCAAAAACTCACCTTTAAAATTGCTAATTTAACACAAAATGATAAATTCAGTGAAACTAATTATACAGATGACACACGCAAAGTTTTATTAAATTACTTACCAACAAGAGTACTTACTCACTCACTCTGCTGATCTCTGAAGGAGGTTAGTGGTTTTTGATTTGACACCTATATTCCCACACCACCTGCACCTATATCCCACCCAGCCAGGTCTCAGATCTCTGGGCAGCAAGCCATTCTGCCCAAAAGCCAGCAGCACCTGTGCTTTGCTTTCTCTCCAAAGACTATGAACAGTATATTGCCAGCAGTTTCAAGTTACCACAAAGCTCCTTCTAAGCAAGCACACGTATTCTTAAAGTAAAAGGATTATAGCAAAAACATAATAAAAACAATAATCAGATTTAAACACACTAAACATACCAGGAGTCACCCATCAGATTTATCGGGCTCGAGTAGGCCACAGTCTTTCCAATCCTCCCCTAAGGACTGGGGCCCCCATTGGACAAAAGGTTCTGTCCATTTGCTGGATCAGAAAGAAGGCCCTAAGTCAGTTCAAACCCAGCCTTTTTATATCAAAAGCCCTTTGTCTGTTGGTCTCTGGAAAACCGTGTTTGAACCAGTCCATGCAAGCCTCCTTGTGGAGAGGGTACCTCCCTGGAGAGGTTTACAACCTGAGTGATTCATCTTAGTCATGCCCCACTGTTTTTGACTCCTAGAAGAGCTGTGATAACTCTCCCCTCTGGAATTGTACACAATCCCTGACCCACAGTGATACATAACCTTAGTACAATATGTTCCCCAAAGAGATTATATGTGGTTGCAATAACAGTCACAGTGTGTTTGGCAAATACCCATCTGATAAAATGTGTGAAATCCTGGCTCCACTGAAGTCATTGACTTAAATGAGACCAAGACTACATCATATGTGAAAACTCTGGGAAAATCTTCACACTTCCTTGTATAACCAGAAAGTCCTGAAGACAGCAGTAACTATGTGATTTCATCATGCAGAAGAGGTGAAAATTTTGACAGCGATTTCTGCAACTCTGATGCTGCAATAGCAGCCACTAAGCAGCATGTGGGGAGAATTCTCTGAAGAGCACACCCGTGTAAGGAACCCATGTACTCACATGTTGCATGGGGAATAGGTTTTGCCCTGGTGCACATTCTCCTGCACTCCTACATTGTGGTAGTTTTTTAAAAATAAAATGATCCTTCCTGTGCTATCTTTTCCCAAGATCCCTTGTTAAACACCTGCTCTTCATGATCTTATGCTAGTTGGAGCATTACCCTGACGCGGTCTCTATTCAGATAGCTGGAAGTGGTACAAGTGTTCATTTCCATTTCTGACCTCTCTTATATAGAAAGAAACCTTCTATCAAATCCAGCTGCTCTGACTCTCTTAACAGACTCTTTGAAACTGACATAGTTTGAGAAAGGGCAATTTTTTAAAAAGCCTTTTGTTCTTTATTTAGACTGAAGCATTTCTGAAGACTTTAAAATTCAACCACGAACAAAAAATAAGCTTTTTTTTTTTTGGCTTTAACATACAATTTTTGTGACTTTGGGAAAACAGTCTTCTGTCCCGGCCATATCACATTCAATGACTGTGTCAGAGTATCTGTGTTAAAGGGGCTAATATATAGCAGACTGCTGAAGTCAGGAAGATTTCCTAATCCACAAATGTATTTTTATTTAAAATTTAGTAAATTAAAGCATTTAAAATACAAATCATGGCATATCTAATATACAAGTTATATATTGTATTAGTACTAGCATTCTATTAAATATATCTATACCATATAATTACACACTTTAAACCATTTATTATTTGTGTTGCTATACTACTCTTTAGTGCCTTTTCATATTACTAATACATCAGAGGTCCATGTTGCTAAATAATCCTGAACATTGAGGTCACCAAAATGTATATACATAGCTCATCAGTCAAGGATATCACTTAGGACCAGGTAGATCACTCAGATCTTGCCCTGAACTGCAGGATGTGCTAGAAGAGGGCAGATGAGGGTACAGGAAGCTTTTTGTCCCCTATCCTCAGTGTACATGTGCAGAAGTAAGACAAAATATGCTCCTAGGACCCAATCCTACAAACTCCTCCTCGCAAAACTAGTCCTTACCATGTCATTAATTCCATTGACTTCAATGGGGCAACTCACATGAGTAAAAGTCTGCAGGACTGGCCCCCTAGAACTCCCTTGAATGCTATGAGGGGATTGCTTGGCTAAGGCACCTGTCTGTGCTTATGCCCATCAAGCGATGTTGTCAGCTGGCTTGACAATATGGCCCAGCAACTCCCACATAGTTCATGCTGTGATCAGCATCGGGCCTGGGAAGTAGTGCAATTAGTTAATCCTCACAGCAGCTCTATGAGGTATGAGCATAGTGAGCCAAATTCTGATCCCAATGTGCAGCCCAAAGGACAGCTCTATATGCTGGGGATCTATATGGGAATCTTTTCCCTAGGCTGTAGAGAGGCAATACAGCCATTCCATGGCCTCTACAACAGCCTCACAGCTGCAACAGCCTATGTGGTTGGTTCACTCTCCCTGCATGGCAAATGGCCACAGGGCAGTTGAGGATCTCTTGCCACACCTTCACTCTTCTCCTGTCCCAACCAAAAAATCTCTCTGTGTGCTGGGACATAGGAAACCCCTATAGAGAAGAGCTATGTGGTAAACACAGGATATAACCATTCTGAGAGTCAGACAATCCTGTCCTGTCCCACCCCTTTCCAATTGCTGGATCAGGGCCCTTTGATGCAGTGGAGATTTAAGAGATTAATGTCATATCCCTCATTTCTACTTCTACTAAGGTGACTACATAGCAAGTGTGAAAAATCGGGACGGGGTGGGGGGTAATAGGTGCCTATATAAGAAAGAGCCCTAAATATTGCGTCTGTCCCTATAAAATCGGGACATCTGGTCACCCTAACTTCTACATTTATATTTCAGCTTGTAAAGGTTTGGGAGCCTTTAGGGTGAAGGGCTCTATATATTGTAAATGTAAACTATTGATAGATTCTAAGGCCAGAAGGGACCATTGTGATTATCTAGTCTGATCTCCTGGCCATAGAATACCACAAAATAATTCCTATAGCATATCTTTTAGGAAAACATCCAATCTTGATTTAAACATTGTAAGTAATGGAGAATCCACCCCAACTCTTGGTAACTTGTTCCCAACTGTTAAAAATGTATGCATTACTATTATTATACTACATCTATACTAAGCAGATATGACAAATTGAGCTGATAACCAATAACAGATATATATACACCACCCTCCAAAATATTCTGCTATCTGAAGTCTAGCTGGGACTTTTAGCAAACAGCCCGTAGAGGAAGGAGCAGTGAGGAGCTTGGAGGGAGGTAGGAAATCATCTGCGACACTTCTTCATGGGACACAGCCATCATAATTCCTCAGGTGCACAGCTAGCTCTGCTGGCCAACACATGAGAGGGTGGGAGGCAAAGCCATAGCTCTGAACCGATTTTTCTTGGATTTTAGTTTTGTAATTTTAAATAAGTGGGCAGGTGCTAAAAGTCTGTCTGAGCACTTTTTATTTTAACTTGAAAGGAAATAAATAAAAACCTAAAAGAATACTCCTTGTCCCTTTCCACCCAGCTGTGGCTGGAGGATGCATCTGTGCCACAGCCTCTGCACTCCCTCAGGAGCTGTGGCTGTGATTTGGGCTTCCCTGATGCAGGCTACATAAAGGAGGAATTCTTGCTCCCTTCCCTCACCCCTGTGCAACTGCATTAGACATAGCCTTGAGCGATTTCTCTATAGCTTTAGGTTGTGTGCTTCTATAAACATTTGGTTAGGCTAGAAGGTAAAGATATAAACACTACTGGAATAAATCATAACCTCACTTTTTTCTGAAACTTCAGAACTTCAGAAACTTAGGCTTCTTGAAATTGTCATAGGCAGTTGCAGACCTTGCAATGATATTAGGCTTTGAACGGAAGGGTGATTTACAGTTAACATTCTAATGAGCCATCTATTGAAGAGGGAGGGTCACTTTCAGCCCTGGTGAAAGCTAGAGAAACTCCACTGACTTCCAGAGTTGGGCCTGCCTATAAAAGGGATGAATCTGGTCCAAATATTTAGCTGTGGTGATGAAGTGGTAGATATAGAATTATAGATTCTGAGGCCAGAAGGGAGAATTGTGCTCATCAAGTCTGACCCATAAATAAATATTTATTTTAAAAAATTCAGTCCTGATTTTAAAATGGCCAGTGATGGAGAATTTACCAAAACCCTTGGTAAATTGTTCCAACAGTTAATTACCCTCACAATTTCAAAAATGTACACTTTATTTCCAGTCTGAATGTCTCTAGCTTGAACTTCTAGCCATTGGATCATGTTATACCTTTGTCTGCTAGACTGAAGAAACCATTATCAAATATTTGTTTCCCATTTAGAGTCTTATAACCTGTGATCAAGTCGCCTCATAACCTTCTCTTTGTTATGCTAAATAAACTCAGCTCCTTGAATCTATCACTATAAGGCATGTTTTCTAATCCTTTAATCATTCTCATGGTTCTTCTCAAAACCCTCTCCAACTTATCAATATTTTTCTTGAATTTTGGATGAATCTTGAATGAAGAAAACTGAGCTGTTTCTCATGGGGGGAGTTGATAACACAGAATCCACAGTGCTAGAGCTTGAAACATCTGTAAATCATTGAGGTGTGTCCAGTAACAGAGCCATCCACGCTGCTACACAACTAACCCCATTGAGATGAGAATGTGCCAGCTCGACAGTTTGAACGCCATGGAGTTTTTGGTTCTTTCCCCCTTCCTCTGATGTTTACAGTGGGAGGAGAGCATATAGACTTTAGAGAAAAATGAAGCTTGGATTGTTTCATACATTACTGTTTATAAACCCCGCCAAAGATAACATTCTTCATAAAAACAACACATGCCTGGTCACTGTTTTGCATACTGTCCAAAGAAAGCATAAATGGGATCATCTTTATGAGACATTTTTAGAATGCATGCGGAAGTTAGTGGGAGTAAGGGACTATGCAAGAAGGGTATGATTGGAGCCTATAATTGTGTAATATGTTCATTTCACAGCACATAGCATTTTATAAACTTACCACATCCTTGGGAGGAGGCTCCACTTCCTTCTTTACTTTTTTACCCATTCTAAAAACAAACAAAAAAACAAAAGCAGTTAATAAACAAACAAGTGATGTTGTGTGTCTTAGGACCTAGTTCACCAGGGATGTTGTACAGAAGCTTTTAAGACAGGCTCTCCCACCTGTTTGACCTACCTAGCCAGTCTAGACAAATCTTAGAGGACTCTTTTGCATGGAGCAACAGTAATTTCTTTGGCTGAAAGTCATCCCTCAAAGGCAGCAATATTATATTTGTGCCACAGAACAAACTTCTTAACACTTGATCACACCTGGAGAAGCTTAAATGCCAACTCAATATACCTCTGAAAAGTGATGAAGAAAGAGACACGAGATTGGAAGGCAATGTGATACTACAAGGTCAGGTTGTAGTGGTAGTTGTTGTTTCCATATAGGAAATATATTAAGGATTAACTTTTCTGTAGGTTTAGGTTCACAAGCATGCACAAAACTGTGCACCCATTTATTACAACTGTACATGAAAATGGGCGTTTAGTTGCATAAAAATGTATTTTTCCATGGATGGTTGCAGTAATTACCCATACAAATATAGACAGACAACTCTATGAAGACACTGGCATTTACAAGCAGTGGAATAACAACACTCTGTGACTGTTGATAAGGGCAGATTAGCCCCTGGAAGCAGAAAGGGAAAAGACGACAGAACAAATTATTTAATAAAACTCCAGAGCCTGTTTCTCCGCTGCCTTCTACCTTGTGTAGTCATATGCATCTGTGAAAAGTGAGTGTAACATACTTCAATTCTGACTTGACAGTGTTTTCATTCACTTTATACAGAGATCGATAATTACACAAGGTTCAAGGCAGTGAAGAATCAAGCGCTTATAATTTTATCATGGGATTTTACTCAGAATGCAGATGAATATGCAAGTAATGCTACACTTCCCTACACTATTCAAAGAGTTTTTGGGTCCTTGATAATGTTAAAAAGCAGTATGATCCGTATGAATGAGCTTTAGTATGAAGGAATCGTATATTCAGTGGGCTAACAGCCTTTGGCCTCACTTCAGGAGCTTAATTACCCTACACAGACAGTTACTTCACCACTACAGTGACTATCCTGGGTTTCAGTACATTCTGTCATCAAATAGTATCATCAGTTTAGTTACCAAAAAGCTCCCTTTGTTTAGTGGCCACTTTCTGCTAATTAAAAAAATGTGAATTTTATACTGAATTGTCTCAGTCAATTGGGGTGAATAGAGGTGGAAAAGATATCGACCCACAATTTTTAGAGCTGGTCAGGAATTTTCAGACAAGACAGCTTTTCATCTAAAAGTGCCAATTTGTCAAAACTTCAAACTCTTCCAGTTAAAGGGGAAGTAATGACAAAATCCTTTTTCAGGAAGGTTTCTCAGATCCAGGACGGAATTCCTGCTAACAGTGAGCCCATCACCAAGAGCCTGGCGGTTATGGCACTCACCTGGGATACAAAAAATTGGGAGAACTAAGTTTAAGTCCTTATTCTGCCTGATTTAGAGCAGAGACTTGAACCCAAGCCTCCCAAGCCACAGGTGTATTCCCTAACTATAGGGCCACAGAGTCTATTGCTTTTATTCTGGCCCAATGAATATTTAATAATTTATAAAAAGGGGAGCAGCTCCAGCACCTGAGAGACCCACACTATAATAGCTTGTTGGGTAGAGCATTCAATCAGGCAAAGCAGGGAGCTGAGCCTAAATCCCCCATGTCTCCTGCATGCCCTTTGAGTACCATAACCACCAGGCTATTCTGGGGGCGGGAATGTTACTCTCCACAATAAATTTCAAGAGGTCTCAGGCTCATCCTGCTGCAGAACAAAGGAAGTTTTTCAACAGCATGTTTTCCTGCCCCATGACAATTTTCAATTTCCCAGCCAGTTCTAATGGCTATTCCTCAGTAATGCAGATCCCTATTGCTTGCTGACTGGATGGTCAATCTGCATATTGACCATATGGCTATTTCTCAATAATAACATAGTATGCATATTCTTGGGCTCTGACTTCCTAATGCCCTCAGCCATATATGTCCACAACACAACTGTCTGCTTCTGATCCTCATTCTTCCTGACCCCTTTCAACTTTCCCTCCTGTACCTTCTTGCTCCTGATAAAGGCTAAGAATTCCACACACATAGATAGATTCCTATCATATGAGATTACAGTCTGTCACTGTACCTTATTTTGAATGTTTTTTAAATGGTTTCTGATGATATTTGCAGCCAGATTCTCTGGTAGGGTATATCAACCTAAACCAGGCAGATTTGGTTTCAGAAGGACTCTCCATACTGTGGAGAGTCCTCCAGTGGTGTAGCATTGTTGGAATGAAGGAAGCATGGATGGAGGAAAGGTCGCAAGGCTGGGATGTCTTATGTCCTGGTGATCCCCTGCCTTCCAGAACAAGGCCTGGGGACTGCAGGCAGCTGGCATAAAGTAGAGCAGTCCTAAGGCACAGGATTTTCCACACAAAATGCTGTAGTGTGAATTTATTTCAGAGGTTGTTTTCCATTCCTGTTGCTATAACTGTCAGCTATTTTCCCCTTTGCTTTTCTTTGCATTCTGACTAACCCTTGCACCCACTCAACCAACCTTTGTTTCATTCTCTCATCACCATACCTGTGATATCAAGGCTTCATAAAGACAAATGAGGGATTTTACATTTTAGTCAACTGTTAGCTAAGGGAAGTAGCTACACCAAAAAACAAGTAATAGTGAGAAGTGCAGTTTCTGCCAATTTCCACTGCTCAGCCCCTGGACTAAAAAAACTGTATTCCAGTTTTAAGTATATGCAAAATTCAACAAACTTTCCCCAGCTGAAAATACAGTGCCTTGTTCTCATGTGCTTACTCAGTAGCTTTTTATAGTCTGTAAAGTAGTTTGCCTAACTGGTTTATGTAGTAAGGTCCTTTTAAGGTTAGAATGAAAGGAAAATGCAACACATCTAACTGAAAGAGAATACACTCCTGTTCTTTAACGGTCTTACTATTTTTTATTCTCCATTGTTTCTAATATTATTTTAAAAGCTTGAAAATGAATGTATTTTAATTATTTTATTAATTAATTTAATTATTCAATTAAATATTTAGAATACAGACACCCTTCCCGTGAGATTATAACTTTAATTGTGGCCAAATTTTGGGTCTAAACTACTTGTCAATATGTCCCTTTTAAAGATGGAACTCTATATTAATAAAAAAGCAGTATCACCAATTTGAATTTGAGAACCTAGTAAAGGATCTTTTAACCACAGTGATGCAGAAAATTGCTCTCTCATTCTAAAAGCTGTTACCATCACAAGTCCTACACTTTTCCTAAATTACTTAAGATCAAAGAATTAAGGGCATAAAAAGGGCTTTTAATAACTTAGTCAAGTATAAAATTAATATTCTATGACAACTGGCTTTTTTATACTGAGGAGTAACACATAGTACAAGTGAATTTTCAATGCATCATTCCCCAATAAACTTGAGGATTAAATGAGTGTGAAGAAATAGTTTTCCTTTCCACTAATTCATAGCAGAGTGATGGATGACAAGTGAACTGTAAGGAAAATAGTCTGTAAAACTTGCCCTGAAAAATGTGAAAAGATCCATTGAAATTTGCAGTGTTCAAACACACTCTCAAATCCTAACCGTTCCTATACAGTACCAGATGTCTACTTCTACTCCCAAAACCAAACACGTCAGTTTGTATCCACAAACAAAAACTTACACCATGGTGGGATCAGATATTTGCACTTACAAAGCTACTAACTGACTCCAGTGCTTCCCTTCACCCATTATCTAAAACTCAAATGACAGAAGGAACAGCCTAAGACCCTGCAAGCCCTGAGCAGCAGTGAGCTGTGAGACAAAGCAAAGGAATAAGAAAAAAGCACTGCCAGATGTGGAACTTACCTCTTTGTCAAGAAACCAGAGGTCAGTTCTGGGGGCAATTACTTCCTGTGGAGATGGGGTAGAGAGAGAAGAATGTAAGGATAACTTCTGAGCAGTTATTTATCACTTGATCCACTTCTGGAGCTGACAGTGCCCTTCTCTAGGAGAGCTTGTGGCTGTGTTACTGCAACCTTTGCCACCAGCTTCAAGTTTTTCCTAAGAAGGACCCAGAAATGTATTATTTTTCTTCAAAATGTTAATTAGTTTGACTTAATTAAAATGAAAACTAATTAGACTAGATAAAGTCTAGGTATTTCTTCTCCATTATAGAAATCCAACCCTTTCTTTCTGTCCCAACAGCTAAAATGCTTGTCATCTCCTGCCTTGATTACTACAGCCTAGCCTACCAAAACAAGTTTAAACTTCTCATCTTTACCACCAAGGCCCTGTATAACTGTGCCCAGCCTACATCTCAGGTCTCATTTCATACTGCTCCAACAGTAATGCCCACCCTGCAACTCCCTTTCTTTCCTTCTCCAACTCCCATCATTGAACTTTCTTACATCCTGTCCCCTATGTATGAACAAACCTCCCAAACCCAGTACACCAGGCCCTCACTCTCTCCTCATTCAAACTGGCTTCCTCCCTTCAGACAGCGACTCCTTCACTCTGCTCCAATTGAAAGCATGTTGCTGTAGGTTCTGGGGATGGGGGGTGGGGGCCCTCTTGAGACAGTACTGCTCCTTCCCTTCCTTAATCTCTGTGTGGGATCATCTGTAAATCCTACCACACAGTTCTTTTTATTTGCCTTCTGATTTTTGAACCTTTAGTGTCCACTTGAATAATATTTTCAAGCTTTTCTTCACAACCATAAGGGCTAGAAACTTACTTATTTTTTCATGGAAGCTGAGATTCTCACATGACTCCAGGATCTGGGGTCTTAAAAATACACCAATATCATAAGACTTGTGATAAAAATCACAGGAGTTGGCAATACTAACAGTGATTGGTAGGGTTACCTTTTTCCATGTTGCTCCCCAAACATACTTTAGACCTCTTCTGAAGAGAGCCCCTCAAAGCACTTGGTGAGAGGGTATTTCAGTCTTCATGCTCACTGAACCCTTGGATTTTGAAACCATCAATTGGGTACCAATTGCAAGGATTTTCTATTGTGACATTTTTTCACTAAGAACGAATCTTGTCTACCAATTCGTTTCAGATAAATCAACAAAACAGCCAATGACACCAATCTGGGCCTTGGCCTCAGAAACCACACATGGGGCTCAAATCTGAGCAGGCATCCTAGATGCACAAGGATCCATATGCCCTTTAGCAACCTTCTATGCCACTCATCCTGTGACAAAAATAGTATATTAAAAAAGTACTGAACTACTACATTTTATTTTCAGAAAAACTCAAAATAAAATGTTTATCACGAGGACACAGAGACTAGTAGGCGAGTCACTCAAACCCTGTCCATGTGCAGCTGAAAACATTCAAGTCATGTCCTATTAAGACTGTAGGCTATTTGAGGCAAAAATGGTGTCTTTCTCTGTTTTGTATAGTATAAAGCATAATATGTGATTAATAAATGAAGAAATTGAATTAATGGGTAGAAATGAGAGAAAAAGAAAACAGCAACAGGGTTTATTAGACACAGAAAAATTGCCATACTGGATCACAACAGGTCCATGGAGTCTAGGATCCTGCCTCTCACAGTGGCATGTACCAAATACTTCAGATGAAGTTGCATGAAACCTGCCCTCAAATCAGTCTTCCGAACTTGCAACTGTTAGTGGTTTGCTAATTCCTTGAAGCATGAGGGTTTATATCTCTAACAGTTTTTTTTATCTAACACAATTGTGGATGTTCTTATTAGCTATAGAAATGTTTATTCCCTTTTTTCATTCTATTCTATTCTGAGCCTCCATGATATGTTGTGGCAACGAGTTCCACAAGTCAAGTATGTATTATGTAAACATGATTTCATTAGTTTTAAATTTGTTGCTTTTCAATTTCATAGACCATTCCCTTTTTCTTGTATTTTAAGGCTGAGTAAATATATGTACTTGATTTATCTTTTCTATACACTATTCATTTTATTTATATCCTTCTTTATTGTTCTCTCTGAACTGTCACCTCTCAAAACAGGCCTTCCCCACCCCACCCCAAATCTCTTCATTTAGCAGTCTTTCCAAGCCTCTAATCATATTTGTTGGTTGTCTCTCATCTCCTTCAATGTCTGTTATATCTTTTTCAGATGTGATGACCAGAAATGAATACAGCATTCCAGTTTCCTTTGTACTAATGGCTTCTAACACGGCATCATAAAATTTTAGGTTCTACCAAGTTCCTTGAGCGGAAGTTTTCATCGAGCTGTCCACAACGTTAATAAGTCATTTCCCGGAGTGGTTACAGATAATTTAGAACACATTAATGTGACTGCAAAGTTCAAACTATTTCTTCCAGTGTGCATTACCTTGCATTTATCAACAATGACTTCCACCTGCCATAGAGCAGCCCTTCACCTAGCTTTGTTATGTCACTCAGGAGTTCCTCACAATCTTCTTAAATCTTGATAAAACTAAATAATTTTGTCTCATCTCCAAATTTTGCCATCTCACTGTTCTCTCCCTTTTCCAAATAATTAACTAACATATTACATAACACCAGACCTAGTATATATCCTTGGAGAATCCAAGCTGTGACAATTTGAATGAGGGAGATTTTTTAAAATTACGTGTGAGATTTTAAATGTCACGTTGAGACACACAGCAAAATCCCTCATCCCAAGAGAGAGAGACTTGAAGAACTGCTTTAATATGAATCTAAAATAAATGAGACGTGGCAGTTATGCAATCACTTTCTGTACATTAGCAGCAGGATATTTTTAATACTCAAGTCAAGGAGTGTCTGCCACTACCTCACAAGCAAGCCATTTTAAAGGGTCATATAAATCAGAGGTTCCTAACTTTTCAGGCAGCTGTGCCAGTTTACTAAACTATGATCCTGATGGTAACAAACAGTGCCTCTTGGTTCCCATTTCAGTTGTGTACATTCTCACAGTTTTTCACAAAGTTGCCAACTCTTAAGATTTTATCACTAGTATTGCAACATTTGGTGTTTTTCTTAAAGCCCTTTCTACTGGAGTCATGTGAGTATCTGAGAATCTCAGCTTTTATTTTATTTTTAAAGTAATTTCTATCCCTCGTGGTTGTGGAGAAAAGCTTGAAAATGGGAACTCTAAAAGTTCAAAAGCCAGAAGGAAAATAAAAATAATGTAAAATTAATATTTTAAAGACTCATTTTTAGGCGACTTTGACCCTTGATTTTTGAATGCCTGGAGTTCACACATGACCACAAGCCACCCAAGAGAACAGAGTAGCCACAAATGAATGGGAAGCAGGCAGAGACTCCAGGTTACTAAAAAAAAGAAAAGGAGTACTTGTGGCACCTTAGAGACTACCCAATTTATTTGAGCATAAGCTTTCGTGAGCTACAGCTCACTTCATCGGATGCTGTAGCTCACGAAAGCTTATGCTCAAATAAATTGGTTAGTCTCTAAGGTGCCACAAATACTCCTTTTCTTTTTGCGGACACAGACTAACAGCTGCGACTCTGAAACAGGTTACTAGAGTTCACCATTAAGGGTCTGATCTAGCTCCCCTTAAAGACAAGAGAACAGAAAGAACTCCTATTGACTTCAGCAGGATTTGGACTGGATCCAGAAAGAGGCAATTTAGAGTACCAGTCCCAGAAGCCTGAAGTGCCAGCTGCTAACATGATAGACCACTTGTTGAGAACTACTAATGAAGACTGGAAAATTATTCGCTTAAGGGACAGCAATGCAGGCAGAGACACGGCAAGGGCAGGACTGAGGCGGGCAGACAGACAGACATTACACCTCCCCCACACCTGACACACACGAGCGTTGTCGGCCACTCTCCCCCACCCCGACAGACAGACAGACACCCCCCCTCTCCCCACCACGCCGGCTCGCCCAGCCCCGCGGGGAACGTGCCACTCACCCGCGGCGAGGGGTGCCCACTGCCCAGGGGTGCCGCCGGGGCCTATCGCCAGCGCTCTCCCCCGCCTCGCTGTTGTTTGCCGGTTGCTAGGGAACGCCGAACGTGCCCGCGGCGCACGCTCCCGGGGCTCCCTCTGGCGACAGAGGGAGGGAGGGAGGAGGCAGCGCCGAGGCTTGTGGCGCATGCGCACGCGACCTTGTCGCGGGGTCGTATCTCGCGTCGCGGATCGGGTTGCCTGGGGCTGGCAGCTGATGCTGCGGTTAGCGGCGCACGAGGTCGGGTCTGAGTCCGGTGCGTTAAGTGGCGGGGGGGAGCGATCGCTCCCCCCATATGCAGCCCCTTTGTGAGGAGGCCCGGCTCCCTGCCCCAGCCGCTGGGAGGTTTCAAAGCGCGGGCCCTGGGGCCGCCCAGCGACGCTGCTCCCGAAGCTGGGGCTGCGCAGGGAAGGGGAGGGAGCGGGGCTGAGCGGTAAAACCAGGGCTGGGGGTAGGAGCCGGGGCTGAGACGAGGGCAGAGGGGAAATCCCCTGCCAGGGAGGTGGGGGCCGAGCGGGTGAAAGTGACCCAGATGCGGTGAGCCAGCTGCTTCCCCCTCCACAGGACGGCGCAGCTGCGCGCCCACGGCCCAGGGCTGTGCTGAAAGCCCTCCCTCTCTGATAGGATGTATTGAGCTGCTAAAGGAGGCTTGAGTCAGTGAAACCCTTTACAGACGCCTTCCCCCTCCAAAAATTAAAATCGTCAGTGTTTATACGAGTCCCGTATCAATGGACAGGCTGTATAGCGCCACGTCGCAGCTCACCTTTGTGTCAGCTTTCAGAGTAACAGCCCTGTTAGTCTGTATTCGCAAAAAGAAAAGGAGGACTTGTGGCACCTTAGAGACTAACCAATTTATTTGAGCATGAGCTTTCGTGAGCTACAGTGTAGCTCAGGAAAGCTTATGCTCAAATAAATTGGTTAGTCTCTAAGGTGCCACAAGTCCTCCTTTTCTTTGTGTCAGCGGCTGTTCTGGTTGCCTGAGCTGGGCTGCCTTTTCCTTGTAATCCCTGTAAATGGAGTTTCATTCCTTTTTTAAACTATTATTTTTATTACTCTTAGCACTTCATCATTTACCTTGGTTACTGCTGCGTAGATGGATCTCATTGTGCTATTTAGTTGATACTTTCATAGTAAATAATCATTGAAAATATTAATAGTTGCTAGTAGCTTCAGCAATCAGGGCTCACACTGTTTCTAGTACCGCTTCCTGTTTGTATTGGGATATGTTAGTTTTTAATTCTAATTTTTTTTTTGCATATTTGATGTACAAATTTATTCTGTGGTGTCATGTGACATTAAGGATGACTGATTTCCTGATTTGGTGTCAAAACTTAGTTTCTTGTGATTCACCAATAGGGATTGCCTTTGTCAATGGTTATTTTGCCTCTCTAGCCAGCACCCTTTTGCTTTTTTCACATGTCACCACTTGTGTGTTGAACTTGGTTCCCAAATAGTCACTACAGGCCAGATTTGTAAAGGTTGAAAGCACCTTGATGCTTTTGAAAATCTCCCTAGTTGCCTCAGTACCTTTAGCATCGTGCCCTTAAGGCCAGGTTTTTATCTTTTGTGAAATCCTTCTCAAAGGCAAATTTCTACTTTTTTTTTTTTTACTAAATACAGATATACACCCCCAAGATAGATTGACAACCACAAGTATTCAACAGTCTTGAGTTATATACCCAAAAGTTCTGAAATTTAAAATACATAAATAAATACATCTGTTTTTTTAAATTTCTCTTTTTGTTCCTGAGTCTTTAGGGCACGCTAGCTTCATACTTTTGCTGTTACCTCTCTCAAAGAATCCATATATTTAAAGAGGTTGTACGTTCCTATAACATTCAGTATCATTTTTGACTTCCAGTAACATGGTTCCGCTGCTCTTTGTAAGTGAAAACTTATTTAAAATCCTTATTTCTGCAAGTAATTCCTCATCCTGCAAACACTGAAGAGCATGCTTTACTCTTCTGTCACTTCATTTGTAGCATACATACATGCTGATTTTTTTTCTACTGAATTGTTTATACTAATTGCATATTTTAATTTTATGTATGTTACATATTTTGTTATGATACATTTCAGTGATGTTCTTCATTCTGACAAGTGTACTGTTCTGTACTGCCAAAATCAAGGATTTTTTAAAATGAATTATTCTGTTTCTCTTTTGCATTGGTTGCCATTTGGTGAAACTAAAGTGCCTTGTCTCCACATGTTTTTACAGGGGGATAGCAAATAGTTATCCCACAAGAAAAAACATATTTTCTTAACACTGAGGACAGACTATAACACGGACTCAAATGTCAAATGAACCATTATTATTCATAGCTTGACAACTCTGATACTGATTGTGTGGCTAACGCTGCTCCTTCACCGTAAGATGTTTTTATGTGTGAATGTGTGCTGCCCCTATTTGTGTAGGTGTCATGGAAAACCAGTTAAAGCATTTTAAATTAAAGGAATTAACAGAGGCTTTCCCACCCTCCGTTTCCTTTATTAAGTGCTTGTCTAGATTGTGTGACACTGAAAGTGTGATGTTAATGCACATATATTACAGTGTTGTAAACCCCTGTGTGGATGCAGAGTTAGGTGGCCTTAGTTTTGTCAACAACAGCCGGGGCAACCATAGAAGATTGCAGAAATCCTTCCCCAACACTATTAATCATCAGATCTTTGACCTGTTTTGAACATTTTTAAAATTGTGTGTAGTCCATGTGTATCCCCTGTTTGATATTTTAAGTCCAAAGGAGTGATGTTATGGAGCACTCAGCTGAACTTTTCCTGTAGAAAAGCCTTTGCAGTATTTCATAGATATCAATTTTGGAATGACAAAATTTCAATAAATGGTGTAAGATTAAAATTTAAGGTGATCTTGCTCCTTCTTTCTGTTCTAAGCTGGTCAGGACACCTTTCATGGGGGGAGAATAAAGGCCTGATAATGTCATGGTAGATCCTGTTGTGCACACAGAGGGTGTTGGCCTAGCTGTCTAATGATCCCTTCTATAAGCAATAGTCTCTAAGGTGCCACAAGAACTCCTTTTCTTAATGCAAATAAAGTGGTCTACTTGTTCTAATAGAATTAACTGATTGATATATGTTTTGGTGCTTTACCTCTAAAGATTTCTCTTTGATTTTAACCTCTACCAGCTCATTAACCACACAAGATAGAAACTTTATCTTATCCCAGAAAAATTTAACTTACACACACAGCATTTGTTGTGTTTAAACCTTTCGTACATCATGATAGTAATATTGAGTCCATTATTGTGATATCCACAACAGTGTGAGAACACAATCTGATAGGCACAACAAAAATATTTTCAGCTCACTTAAAACATTGTGATGTTGTGTCTCAGCACATGTGCAGAGAGCAGGGCAGATCAGTTTGCTCTGAAACATCCAGAAATAGGGTGTGGCAGTTACTAGACATGCTCTATATTTATTTCTGAAGCAGTATAAGATGTTTTCATTGTAGGCAAGACACTTCCTGTTTACTCACCTTATAGCGGAGCCAATCAGAGCTCAAAGGTGGGAAATGTTATAAATATATCTGCTGAAGACAGCCTTGTGACATCAGTGGTTGATCAGTGCAAGAGCCTGCACATTTCTGCACATGCATCTGACAAAGTGGGTATTCACCCATGAACGCTCATGCGCTAATACGTCTGTTAGTCTATAAGGCGCCACAGGACTCTTTGCCACATTTCTATTGTGAGAGATGGATTTGCTGATAACACTGAGAAATGTTTGAAAAGAAAGAGGATGCTAACATTCTTATAAAGATCTGAAGAAGCCAGACTTGTATGATGCATATTATGGACATATAGAATCATAGAAATGTAGGCCTAGAAGGGACTTCGAGAAGTCAAGTCCAGTCCCCGATGCTGAGGCAGGACCAAGTAAACCTAGACAGGTGTTTGTCCAACCTGTTCTTAAAAACCTCCAATGAAGGAGATTCCACAACCTTCCTTGGAAAGCCTATTCCAAAGCTTAACTACCCTTATAGCTAGAACGTTTTTCCTAATATTTAACCTATATCTTCCTTGCTGCAGATTAAGCCCATTGCTTCTTGTCCTACTTTCAGCCCTTATAACAACCTTTAATATATTTGAAGATTATCAGGTCCCCCCTCAATCTTCTTTTTTCAAGACTAAACATCCAGTTTTTTTAACCTTTCCTCATAGATCAAGTTTTCTAAACCTTTTATTATTTTTGTTGCTGTCCTCTGGATAATCTCTAATTTGTCCACATCTTTCCTAAAGTGTGGCACCCAGACTGTGACACAGTACTCCAGTTGAAGCATCACCAATGCCCAAGTAGAGCCGGTTGATTACCTCCCGTGTCTTATATACAACACTCTTGTTAATACATCCCAGAATGATACACCCTTTTCTGCACCTACTTTTTTCACACTGTTGACTCATGTTCAATTTGTGATCCATTGTAACCCCCAGATCCTTTTCAGGAGTAGTACCACCTAACCATTTTCTTCATTTTGTTGTCGTGAATTTGACTTTTCCTTCCTAGGTGTAATACTTTGCATTTGTCTTTACTGAATTTCATCTTGTTGAATTCAGACCAATTTTCCAGTTTGTCAAGGTCATTTTGACTTCTAATCCTGTCCTCCAAAGTGCTTGCAACCTCTCCCAGCATTGTGTCATCTACAGATGTTATAAGCATACTCTCCTCTCCATTATCCAAGAAGTCACTAATGAAAATATTTAATAGTACTGGACTCAGGACTGACCTCTGAGGGACCCCACTAAACACTACCTACCAGTCTGATAGCAAACCATTCATAATTATTGTTTGCGTATGGTCTGTCAACCAGTTGTGCACCCACCCTATTGTAGTTCATCTAGAGCAGTTTTTCTCAACCTTTTTGATTCCAGGGACCGGCTTGGTTCATTCCTAAACTGTATCAGGGAGATATCAGGGACTGATGCCAGTTTATGGACCGGTCACTGAGAAACTCCAGTCCTGGAATCTGATTGGCGGAGGTCCAGATTGATCCACAGCTTCTTTTTAAACTAAGCACAGGAACAGGAAGTTGTCCATGCAACTGGGTT